GATCCATTGGGTTGAGTATATGGAAGTTGCCCAATACTGTAAAGTAGACTGTTAGAGTGATGTATGGGGTAGGCAATGGCTTTGGTAAAGGACCTGTCCTATTTTCCTCTATCAATTCCATGGATCAGAATTTGACAGAAGGTTAAAGCCAGGAGTTGAACAATCTATCAAAACTCACCTCCTGTCTCAGATTAAGCCCACCAACAGAGACAGCAACAGGGCAATGTTTTTTTTTCTACTGGCAGGAAATCAACAATTTGCTTTGATTTGTTTTACATTAAATTTGAAAGAGGAGCACCACTCACTGGCTTGTTATTCGTCAAGATTAGAGCTCAGCTGTTGTAATAGAGTACATTATTGTAGTATACTTTTATGCTGTTTCATGGACCAGAGGAATCTATTTTAAAATAGTTGTTAACTGATACAATGTCAATTATGCCAACTACTCAAATTGCCATTACAAACACAGCATAAATTTGTTAACTGGCAAAATATTGATCTAAAATTCAGTATTTTGAAGGCTGTCCCTGCTACTTACTGCAAAGTATTTGGATTGTGGAAGAATTACAAAGTAGCTCCTTACTTTCCACCCATCCATTCTACTTCCAGATATTCAGAAAAAGGATGCTTATATTTACTTCAATTTTGCCACAAATGCATAGACAAGATTGGTAATTAAACACAAACTTAAAAACAATGGACAGCTATGGTTTACAATTACACACCAAACCAATCAATCTCAATCAATCTCTTTCTCTTCTGGCACAGCTATTAGATGTATTTGTAAACTTGCTTCTGTTTTAAATTAACAACCATTTATTACTATATATAAACCCAGAACTGTGATTATTTTTAATTAGGGATTCAAATTTAAGACATAAAGTAGAATTAAAAAATTCTCTAAAAACCAACAACATAGTCATCTTCCAGATAGTCTCATCTTCTAGATAGTCTCCATTTGAAACACTGTGCACTTATTCCATCATTTCAGCCTGTCATAAATGATATTTTGATTTTTAAAAATGGAACTGCTAGTGAAAAATAAAAAAAAGTTCCTATATAAAATTCCTTGTTTTAGGCAGGCCAAATCCAAAGTAAAAATTTGTTAAAAAGACAATTTGTCCAAGTCTGTATGTAATACATCCCAGAAAGTTTGTTGATAATGGAAACAAGATTCTGGGCTTCTTTTTAAGGTCACAATGAAGCAAGACAAAAAATTTCTTTGTCCCCCGTCTACTTCTCATTTTTTTTTTCCTTTTAGTCTGAAAAATAAAAGTGGCCTTTGAGTAATTTTTCAAAAAATATATGGGCCCATGAAAATAAATTGAGCTAGGACAGTGATGGCGAACCTTTTAGAGACCGCCACAGATCACCCAGGCAGCCCAGCAGCGCCATGGCAGCCATACCCTCCGTCCATGCCCTGCAGCAGCATCTGCGTGCAATGGGGCGCAAGGGCGGAGTTTTGTCCCCGCTGCCCAGCTACCATGTCGTTGGCTCCGCTGCTTCGTGTGGGCCGCTCCCAGGGGCAACTCTCCTCCGGGGGGGCTGCTGGTGAGGAGGGAGCCGTGGGAGGAGACGGGGCTGGGGAGACGGTGTGTGTGCCTACAGAGAGGGCTCCGAGTGCTCCCTCTGGCACCCGTGTCATAGGTTTGCCATCACTGAGCTAGGATAAAACCTAAATTTGATTCAACTTATACATAATTAAAAATCTAATTACATTAACTATGGCTAATCTGATTAATTTCTGCGTATTTATGTATTTTCCTCCAGTCACACTAAAAGTATAATTTATGGCAACTATTGGAGAGCCTTTGGCGTTTGCACTGAAGGTGGTGATCACATCTAATCTCTGAGCTGCAAGCCATGAATCCTATATTAGAATCTTATGGAGAAAAGAATTGATCGTTTTGAAGCAACAATTATACTATTTGAACATCAGCTAGTTTCTTCCTCCTTTCTATTTGTTTCTTTACCTTATCCATTTTGTTTGATGGAAAAGAAAACTTCTGGAAACTCAAAAAACCTGATATTTTGTTAATCTTCAATCGAATCTTTGAAAAAACATAGCAAAAGTAACAGCATTTTACTGTACCTTAAAAGACAAATTAAAATACGATTCTGTGATCCAAACAATAAAAATATACCAGCATTCATCTCCTTTCTTCATAGCATATAGCCTCTCCTGATTTAAGCTTGTGAAGTTGTTCTTACTATTACCTAACTGACTCTTTTTTCAGATTTTTTTCTCAGTTATTCCCAACTTTTTTATTACTCTCTGTCCTTTGGGCCTTTTATCTATTAATTTTCCTAGGATAAAATTTCCTAGTTTTTCAGTTTATTCCTCTAATTTCCATCAAATATATAAGTCTTCCTTTCTTACAAAAGTCAGACTATAGACATCTAGAATTACTTGAGCAGTTATACCAAAATATATTATTTTGTGCAGCCACATTAATTTAGCAAATTAGAGTAACATAAGTCTTCCTTATAGGTGCTGCAAGCTTTTCTGGACAGGGATGTCCAAACATAGTAATCAATACTCTGTTAATGCCAAATTCAACTGCTGCAATTTTGTGTGGCTTTGCCCTTGAAGACAATTTGAAATCTGGTTCTGGTATGTGCCAATGAGTCTACTTTCTGGAACATTTTAGAGCAAGGCTTTTCAACCTTTTCACCCATTGTACCACTTTTAGGATATGGCAACATCCAAGTACCACCAGTCGCCTAGCAAGGTGTCAAAAACTTAATGACCAAAAAAAAAAAAGGAAAAAAGTGATAAAGTACAGGTAGTCCTCAACTTACAACAGTTCGCTTAGTGACTGTTCGAAGTTACAATGGCACTGAAAAAAGTGCCCCCCAAGCCACAGCCGAGCAAGACACCTGCCTGCCTGCCTGGCCGCACTCTTCCTCCTGTCTGAGGTTTTCATTGTTGTGAGCGTTTCTGTTGAGGATTGGCAGCGGGGGTGGGGTGGGGGGGTGTTTGGTTTTTATTCCACCCGTCTGCTGGGTGGTTGCAGCAGGTTTTGTTCACTTCACAAGACCCTGGGACATTGTGACCGTCATAAATATGAATCAGTTGCCAAGCATCTGAATGTAAATCACAAGACCCTGGAGATGCTGCAACATTCCAGCTGATCGACGCTTCTTCTGGGCTCAGCAGAAGCACCAGGATCAGCACTGAGCTCCAGCTGGAGCCTGGTGCTGATCCTGGTGCTTCCGCTGAGCTCTGACAGCCCTGCAGCTCCAGCCGTCTCTCGCTCAGGCTTGTGTGGTACTGCCACCAGTTCAGCTCATTCCCCTCCCCCACTACCATTTTTCTAGGATGGTCGTATACCACCTGCCAGGTGCCAATGTACCACAGGTGGTACCCGTACCACTGGTTGAAAAGCCCTGTTTTAGAGGTCCTAAAATGTCTGTTGCTGTATGTATAATGATTATAGTTGCTTCAAGCTTTTAAAGTATTATTTATTTGTATTTTACGTTAGTATTTTATTCTATGTATCTTTTGAACTGTAACCAACTATGAAATATTTTTGATAGTGGTCAAATTATAATATTTTAATAAAAAGAACTAGTAAGCAAATAAAGAATTATATGCTACATTTAAAATCTTACCCTCTATTTCCTTACAAACAACAGAGTTGATATACTGACACAAAACAACCCATTTTCTTTAATTTCAGATCCTAATTTGGTCAGTTGAAATCTAACATTGAAGAGCTTAATGATTAGTTGAATAAATAATACAAAGAATAAAATCCAAACTTTTGCTGTAATTATTTTTTAAGATGTAGCAGCTATTATTTTGCATTACATGATATAGTAAGTTTCAAATTGTTTAGAACTTAGTAGAGAACTTTGGATAGCAATTTGAGAATTAACTTTATTTGAACAGAGAGAATCTGCTGTGCTGCCAGGAAATCTAATTTTCTACTTCTCAGTCCTTCTCAAAATTGCAAATTATTTTCAAGTTCTTATCTTTTATAAGTCTTTCTTTTATATTCTGTATATATAATTAGCATGTTTCTTTCTTTCAGGCTTTATGGTGATTTTTTTCTAAGTATAGGAATGTTAACCAGGATATTTTCTTAACTTCCAAATTAAACTTATGTTGGCCTTTTCCATTTCCTGTGGCAGTTTTAAAAATTATTGTGACCAGGGTGTTTAATTTTCTCTCTTTTTCTTTCTCTCTGGTAGCTAATATCAGGCATCTAAAGATTGGATAACATCACCAGAATGGGAGGAGGTAGAATTGTTTATCTGTTACCACTGTCGTGGGTGGTCTGTTGTTTTTGGTTTTTTTTAAGGAAACTAGGCACATTACGCTATAAAATATCAATTCCATTCGAGACCCTTATGACCCATGTCAGTATTAGTAAGTTTATTACCAAATTTTAGCAGCAGAATTTCTGGGATAGAGGTTTCCAAGAATCATAAAATACCAAACCCTTAATCATAAAATACCAAACCTATAAGCATGACTTGAGAAGGGAATTTATTAGAAAGGGATTGTTTAGAAAGAGGTCTTCTTGAAGAACAAGAATAAGTTATTATACATAACTTATATTTCCAACATACCTGGTTTAACCTTTTACAGGCAATATGTAACAAAACAACATGCTATGTTTGCTGTATGCTCACTTTGCAATGAAATGATGTTCTCATAGTTCATCTACACACACACAAAATTTACACAGAACAGTTTTCAATGGAGGCCTGATAAAGATTTTAATCAAATGTATTTGGTTGACTAAATTATACTTTAGAGCCCCAAAGATGCTTTTTCACAAGGCAACTGGACTTTCTTGTTTTCCTTTAGAGCCCTTCAAAGGATTGCTTTTTCCATTTCTTCTTTTCAGCATATTTTATCTCTATAAATTGCTTTAGAAAGCTTTCATTTTTGCAGCAAACGTTGGCTCTTGAACTTTAAAATAATTAAATGCAATCCTTTTCCTCAGGTCTGATTTTTTTTTTTGAAAGGACAATTATATCCATATTGAATGAAGCAGTGGGAACTGGAACAGAGCATGGCAAATACCTTTGTAACAGTATCTGATGGATACTGCCTTAGTGAGCCAATACAGTATTATGGTGAGTAAAAAAGAGAAATTACCAATAAAATATGTGTGTTAGTAAAAACAAGAATTTCTGCAATTGTTAAATACATGTTCTGGGTCATATAAGAAGAATATTGAAAGGTTATTTGGGATGCCATTTTAGATTTGAGGGAGTCAAAAATAAATTCCCCCTCCCTCCCAATACACATTCAATTCAAAGAAAGATTCAAAGATCATGAAGGTTCTTCAGATGATGAATTCAGTGAATATTTTAAGGCATTAATTCTTCTTAAAATCTTTTTATGAATGTCATTTTTTGTACTTAAAAATGCTGCATTATCCTCCAGATGTTTAGTCAATATCAATATCAAGGTCCTTCCTGGATTATATTCTTTAAATCACTGGGGACTGAATCTCCTTCAAGTATAGGACACTTTAAACAGAAGATTCTCTTCCCATAGCCCTTCAATAGAACAGTGTTCCTGGGAAAATTGATTACACAACCACAAGAATGGTTACTAAGGGGCAAGTGTTTTAGAGTAAATATATTAATGGTTGTACTGTAAAATTCAGCTTACTTTAATTAAAAAAAAATAAAGATGAATTCTTCAGAAAAGGATGTATTGTTTACAGTAGTTTCTAAAAGCACATTGCAAATCTGAAAATAATTCTAGCAATATGCTTAATTTCCAGTTTGTCATTATAAAATGAAATTTCATTCATTCAGTTTCTTCCTTTTTTTTTTAAACTTTCCTCTTGGAATGTGTTTTCTATATTGTTAACTTCAGCTGTTAGAGTCATTGGATACAAGATGGGTGGCAAATAAATTTGATAATAAATAAATAAATAAATAAACTTATGTTTTCACTGCTCATATGTAACTCCGATTCGGAGGTTGTTTTTTTTAATCAAATAGCAAAATTTTAATTAGGTATAGAAATATTACAATAGTTTACAATTAAACATGTCAAATTCTAAATTGTGATTTTTTTCAAAATAAACCAGATGTCTTACCAGACCATATCAGTTATCCAGTGCAAGACCTTGATTTCCAAGCTGCTCCTTACTGCCAATATTCAACTGTTCAGTTCCCTCCAGTATTACAGACACCATCTCCACAGACTCATTACAATTCATATAGTTTGGACTCTCAGTTCAGTGATGGCCAATACATCATCAATAATTGTGAATTCAATAAACCCACCTGCATGGGTGCCCATCATGAAGGGGCAGGATACTTTGGACAGAAACGACCTAGGCTTAATCATTCTGCCTTACGAATAAAAGGGCAAGAAGAGCTCTGTGTAGTCTGTGGAGACAAGGCTTCAGGATATCATTACAATGCGCTCACCTGTGAAGGCTGTAAAGGTAATAAGAAAATAATATTGTATCTTAAGTGGGACTGGCATATGAAAGGCTTAAGAATGTGGTACCAAATATTTATTATTCAAAATATTGGAGATGAGTTAAGAAGATAATGGCAGAAATTGGTGCTGGAATTGTAAATATGTTATAGGAAGTAAATTATGTTCTGTTCAATTGGAAATGACATAATTGGTGAAAGTAGAAGCCTTTATACAGTTTAATGGTATTAGAGCTGCAGGAGTAAAAAATCAAAAACAGGAATTTGGCGGCTATTCAGAAAATAAATGAGCATACTGAAGATAAATAAACATTAATCTGGAGGTTTCTGATATTTCCCCCTTGATACAATCTTCAGCAATCTGGTCCCTGCCAGTTGTGCTGATCAGGCTTAGTACCGACATGCAAGTGTTCAAATTTACATCACCTTTGAAGTTCAATAAGCAAATTTTCTTACTGAACTTCAAGGGGTGGTGGTGAACATTTGTATTGAGAGGGAAATATCAGATAATCTTCAGATTAAGTTTTTAATGAACATTCTCAGAAATTCAGCCTAATCTACTCATGTGGTGATGGTGAGGGGATAGGTAGGCCTTTCTAAGCTATTTAAAATCTAACTTGTTATAAATCATTGTAAGCTATATAGCATAATTGTAAATAATTACCTTAATGACAATATTATCATATCTTACTTATAATATCCATGTAATTCAAAAGTAAGACCCCTTGAGTTCAATGGAACTCATTTGCTTCTAAGAAATTATGTTTTAGATTTGTAAAAAAAGTGTTATCTTATTTGTTGACATGCTATTTTTTTGCAATATATTACCTTAGTATATTGAACACTACAAATTAAAGTACAGTAAGTTGATGATGTATAGTTTCTTTATTATTTGTCATAATCTGAAATAATTGTTGCAAGGATTTTTTCGACGGAGCATCACCAAAAATGCAATATACAGATGCAAGAGTGGAGGTCATTGTGAAATGGATATGTATATGAGGAGGAAGTGTCAGGAATGTCGCCTAAAAAAATGTAAAGCTGTGGGAATGCTGGCTGAATGTGAGTGCCAAAATTACTTTTCTCTTGTTTCTGATGTGCTACTTAGGAACATTTCTGATAAGTTGTATATCATGGAATAGAATAAATTAATCAAATGCAGTAATTGTTAATACAATTTCAATTTATGTGGTTTACAAAAGTGCCACATATTTTACAACTTAACTTAAATATCAACATAGTTCTTAAATATGCTTATGAATTTTGGTACAAAATCTTATAGGTTTGCTAACTGAAGTCCAATGTAAATCAAAACGACTTAGAAAAAAAAGTAGTTTCCTTTGCAACATCAAAATGGAAGACGAGGGAATGGACAGCAAGCACGTATCTTCTACAACCAAACCTTTAAAAGTAGAGTCATATTTCATATTTTTATTATTGAATTTAATTATAGTATTTGGCATTGAAGTAAAGCCTACCTTTTTTTTTTAAAGGTCCAGGAGAGAATGGAATTTACTCCTGCAGAACATGAACTCATTGATCATATATTGGCTGTTCACCAAAAATGCACAATTCCAATGGAGGAAGCAAAAAAGTTTGTATGTGCTTATAAATTAATATTACCAAAGATTTTTTTTGAGAAGGGCATGATAGCTCAGCAGTTAAAGACTCTGAGCTCGTCAGCTGGCAAGCTGACAGCCTGGGTTTGAGACCCAACCACCAAGCAATGGGGTGAGCTCGGGTTATTTGCCCCAGCTCTTGCCCACCAAGCAATTTGAAGGCATGGAAATGCAAGAAAATAAATAGATACAACTTCAGTGGGAAAGTAAAGGTAACAGTGTTCCAAGCCCCTCAGCCATATGACCATGGAAATGTCTTTTGACAATGCTGGCTCCCTCGATTAAGGAATGGAGATGAGCACTGCCCTTTAGAGTTGGACTTTACCTTTATTTTTTGAGAAATATGGTATTCCAAATTTAAATGGCATATAGGCTCATTTTAAATATTTTAATTAGTTACAGGAAAGTACTAATCCTGAAGAGAATTTTCTACGTCTTTCGGAAACAGCAATGGTTCATGTGCAGATCCTAGTAGATTTTACAAAAAGACTCCCAGGTAATACTTTTTAATACAGCATTTTACAAACTAATTCTGATTAATCTATTTAGCTGACTCAAAATATGTACTAACTTTGGGTATATTACTTTATACCAATTTAATATCTATGGCCCCAGTGGCAGCACTTGGATAACTGGATTTGGAAGGAGAGAAATTACCAAAACGTCCTAGAGCACAGTGGCAAACTACTTACTTCATGCACATTTGTTTTATTTGAAAAAAATATGTTTTCTGCCTGCATAAACAATTTGCATCAAAAATCTGAAAACATGTAAAGACTTTTTTCCAAATCAACTTGAACATCTTCTTATCCAAACTCTTTTCTGCCCATGTGTTTACCATCGTGTTCTGTATTCATTCTAGCTATTTGTCCTGTCTTCCATTTATTTTTGTTCCTGTAAATAGCCACTACTATTACTATGGAATTAAAATGCCCATCTACATCTTGGCCATTAGATCTTAAATTTTCACTGATACCATGCATCTACTCTAGTGGCATTGATAGGGCATTCAAAAAAGTCGAGATAATGCTTATGGCAGTGTAATCAAGGCCTCATCTCTTTATATATATATATATATATGCAGTATCAATGCATTTTAAAAAGCTTCAATTGTGCTGCTGTCTTGACTTTTCAACACTTCTTCTGGACACTACTGCTCTATTGCAAGAATAAGTTTGGACCCAACTGAAAGTACCATTAATTGATCTAATTAGCATTCCTCATTTTTTTTGATATTTATGGATTATGCTTTTTATAATTATTGACCCAGGATATATTGCAAAACAATATTTGTGGTCAAAGATATTTGATGGGGCCCAAAGTAGACAAAGATATCAAAATCAGTTTAAATATGTGCCATCCCTATCCATTTCAATGAGCCTGGCCAACTTTAACTTATTGCTGAATCTGGATGTTCTTCTGGTGCTTTGATCATGGCAGTGATACTGTTTACTTTTCCACTTTCTACAAATCAGTAGCCCCTGGCATATTCATAAACTTCTTAAGTATTTGGAATTCCTTTCAACTCTACATTTAAATTTTATGTAGTACCGTGTTGCCCCAAAAATAAGACCTGGTCATATTTTTTTTTTGCCTCCAAAAGAGGCAAGTCTTATTTTCAGGGGATGTCTTATTTTTTTTCCTCAATACCTGCCTGGCCTTGCAGCGGCGGCACCAGCAGCCCCATCCAGCAGGAGCCCGCATCGCTGTTGGGCCACTTCTGCGGCTGGAACCTTCATCTGCTTATAAATAGAGTGCTTGGAGACAGAGCGAATTGCTTGGGTTGTAAGCCTCCCATTTGTAAGCCCACCTCAAAAATCAGGCTAGGGCTTATTTTTGAGGTGGGTCTTATTTTTGGGAAAACACGGTAGCTACAGTATAAAATTACATAGGCAACTTGCCATTTTACATTTTCGCAATGCACAATAATTTTTAAAATATTTGAAATATCTGCAATGATCCTATTTAGATTGTCACAGCATTCAGTATCAGAGCTTCTAAGATTACTACAGCCCTGGATGCTTCCTATTGGCTAAGAGGGACTTAGAAGTAATTTCTATTCTTTTTTCCTTCTTCAAATCACAAGTGAAGAATATTGCTGGGCTCTGGAAAGTTCATGGACACCCCCCCCTTTATCTCTCCAACATAGAACTTTTATGATGGGAAAGCAGAACATTTCCAGCAACAATTTTCATATCTGAGGCTGTAAAAACTTAAGAGATGGAAACTAAAAAAATCCTTAAGATATCTTTCCAGACCACAGAATTACAGTCTTCAAATCTGATTCATTTTTTTAAATAAAAAACTTTTTTCAGAAAAGGTAAGTAAATGGTAAATAATCCTTAAGTGTAAATTTACCTTTTTTTATACTATAGGATTTGAAAGCTTAGCCAATGATGATCAGATTGCACTATTAAAAGGTTCTACAATTGAAGCCATGTTTTTACGCTCAGCACAATTATACAATGAACAAGGGATTGAATATCAGATACCATTTAATGAAAGTAAGTTTTAATAATAGCATTTTTATTTTATGTATATAATAAAGTGACCCAATGCTTGCTATAAAGCTTGTCCCATCAGTGCCCTTTCTTTTGAATAACCCTTTCCTCTAACATTGTATTAAGCAATATTTTTGTAATCCAACTTATTCTGTTAAAATATTTTAAAAAGAATATTTGGTTATTTTGTTCTTTACTGTAGATCATATAAAATTTTCTGATCATACTCTTTGTGGCCAAAATAAAAGTGCTTATCCCACAGAAATGTCTCATACAGAAGAAAGTCCAACATCTACTAGTACAACAGGTAACTGGGCCTTGTGATATATTTAATAAATGACTAAATAATTATTTAATTTAAATATATCTAGTTTCAGAAAAGTAACAAAAATATCTTGAAAATTCTTCTAATGAATTTTTAATAGTGAAGTATCTATCTCCCTGTCATGTTTTTGATTTCATCCAATTCGCTATTTGGATTTAGTATTTTGATACCACCATGTACATTTTTACTTTTTTGAACCCTGGAATCATCTTTGGCCACTTCAATCTTTATTTGCCTTTTTTCTAGTGCCTATTTTACTTTGTAAAATGTTTCCTTTTTATTTCACACCCTTGTTTCTCACATAGTTCATCACTCCAATTGTTAATATGTTCCATGATCTACTCTTTTTTACTGACGAAATTATCGTTATACAATTAATAAACTATTTAATATTTTTCTTGTTCTTATCATTATACAATTAATAAACTATTTAGTAGTTTTTTTCTTGTTCTTCCCATGATAGTGGATGAGGGGACAGTATGGCTGTTATTATTTTATGTTCATATAACTTTGAAGAACCTCCATTACTTTTTCTCAAGTTTAACTTTGGAATATTTTTCTTCTTATTCACTATCTGGAGAACCCATTGTGTTTTACATTTTTAAAAATAGTTTGCTTCTTCATTTTTCATTTAAGCTTTTTATTTAAGTTTTAAAAGTCTTACCTTTTGCCTTTTTTCTCTCAATATACTAATTTTCCCTGATTAATTGATCCACCATTCTGATTCCTCTAACACAATTCTTTCTTATACCCATTGTGTCTACTACCACCATTAACTTATTTAAAATGCCAACAAACTTCCTCACAAAAATGTTTCTGAATGAATTTTACCCATTTATATTTAATCCAATATTTGTTTTAAAAATGAATCAATGATATATTATTTAGTTATCATCTGATATTTTCTGTTGTTTTTATAGGTATAACTGAGGAGTTTATCACTGCATTATTTTATTTCTACAGAAGCATGGGAGAACTTAATGTGACTGCAACAGAATATGCCTTACTTGTTGCAACTACTGTGTATTTTTCAGGTAATTTTAGCAATTACTTAAAACAAAGTTCAAATTTTAAGAATGAGAACAGAAGTTTTATTTTTCCCTTTTACGACTACTATAGTTTTTCCATATTTTAATACACATTTGATAAGATTTCTTCCAAATTAAGTATTTATTTTTTTAAAGGTACAATACCATATTATCTCTATTCTGCTGAAATTAGCAGAAACATTAGTGTAAAAACCTGAATGGGCCTAAGAGATTTCTGGGAAATCTATAGCCAATAGCACAAGAATATATGCAGTAGTATTCTCATACAAAACATGATTTCTACCAAAGAATCCAATACTGTCTTCTGGTAGCTGTCTTCTGATATTGCCTGGTAGCTGGCATTCTGTCATAAAGATAGACAAGCTGATTTTTGGGTTTAGCTGCTCTGTAATTTTGAAATATCTTAACCATAGTTCAAGTGTTTATTATTTTACACAAAATAGTAATACAAAATAATACATAAGTTATTTATTTTACAGAAAATCATATGTATTTTTATGTAAAAATCATGTTCATATTTTTCAGATCGTCCACTCCTAAAAAACAAACAACATGTAGAAAAACTCCAGGAACCTTTTTTAGGAATTCTGTACAAATATTCAAAAATCTATCATCCTGAAGAACCGCAACATTTTGCCCGCCTCATAGGGCGGCTCACTGAACTCAGAACACTTAATCATAACCACTCAGAAGTACTAGTAACTTGGAGAACAAGAGATCCTAAGCTGACGTCTTTACTTTGTGAAATGTGGGACTTGCACTGAAAAATTGCTAATTATATGAATTGTTACAAGGAAGTTTTTCTCAAACATGTTGTTCCTTAATTCTTACACTTTTATTTTAAGAAATCATTTATGTTAAATGGCTTATAGTTCATAAATCTGTTATGATGACTATTCAAAATATTAGCTTGTATTGTGAAAGCACCCACATACGTTTTTGGATAAGCAAAAATATTAAAATGTGTATGATTTATTGACAGTGTTATTGCCATATCTGAAGGATATATGTAAAAAAACTGTTTAAACTGTTAGTTGTCATAATGCATTCAGTTCTTTATATGAGCCATTCAGACCTCTAGTAACAGGTGGGTGGATTTTCCATATGGATATAGATTGGCCCTTAATTTAGTACTTACATTATTCTATTTCATGAAATAAATAAAATGTGGTTATAGATAGAATGTTTTATACTGTAGTCCACGTATACATGGACACTGCAAATGTATTGACCTTGCAAATATTACAATCTGTAAGTTATCTGAATACACTGCATAAATGTTGACTAAATTTTCCATTTTATATATATGCATGTCCCCAAACCATGTCATTCACATCCATTATAATTAATCTTATTTGCCAAAGTGAATATTTATAATAATTAAATATTAACATTTATTAACATTATTTCACCTCTGTGTGAAGTCATGTTGTAGATGGACCATTTTAGAAGTATATTTTATAACTGAAATGCCAACTTTTGTGTATTCCACTGAAAGTTTAAATACAACTTCATTTCAATACAACTAAGATTTCCAGTGAATTTGAAAAGGATACTGTATATAAAATTTTAAAAAAATTATTGAGTTGAACTTAACTCCTGGAGACTATTGTGGACTACAATATTTCTTTCTCAGCAGTAAATGGAAGTGTCTTGTCACTACATTCCTTTGGGATTTGTTTTCAGTTACTGCATTCTTCTGGGATGTTATTTTCACTGGGGCTTTTCTGGTCTCCCATCCAAGAACTAAGCAGGTTCCATCCTGCTTAGGCTTTATTAACATCAGTCATGTTTGGCTAGACACTGCCATCTGTGTGGATTTTATATTGGAGGGTAATTCTGACTAGTATTAATGATTTATATTAATAGTGTGATTAATTTTTCCCTAACTTTTCATTTTATATAATTACTCAATTGAAGTTTCCTGATAATTTCTATTATTGTAACTTTGAATATATCTTAAAATTTTGCTGTTTTATATTGGAGATATATTTGCATGTAAGAATTATTATTCATATTTAAAATATTGTGTAAATGACATCTGAATATAAATCTAATATTTTTAATTTTGTTTAGTGCAATATTTTTCAGGTATATATTTAAGTCTAATAAATGCACTATCGGTCTGATTTTCTGCAGCAAATGAATTGATTTTATATGCTTAATTGGGTCAGAAATCTTTATTTCTAAAATACATTGTACACGTTTAAAATAGTAGTCCTCTAATTTAAAGTGTATTATTTCAAAATCTGGAAGAAATAAAACAGACCAAGGGCAGAACATTTTGTAATACTACTTTCACAAGTAGTACTGTAGCACAGAAAACTGCTGCTGGATGGTACTTTGAGGTTCCGTTAGTCCCCAGTTGAAATTTTTGCGAATAAATACCACCTAATTACTCTTTTTGTTGGTAGAAAAAAACATTCACGGCACGTCTTCATTATCTTGTCTGATTTGGCTGCGCGCAGATTCTCTAATGCTTCCCAATTCGGCGTCAATGAAATCGGCTTGCTCCGTTTCTAGATGCAAGTGGTGGCGAGACTTTAATTTCTTTACACCATTTGCGAATGTTGAGTAGCCTTACTCATCTGAAAGGTAGTTAATCCTGACTAGCTATCGGCGGCTTTTCAGAACTGAATTCGGGACGGCCATCTGTTTGCGAAGCCACAGTTCTTTCTTCTGTCTAACGTATTTCCCCCCAGTTCTTATCACAATATTGAGTCCAATTCGCTACATCGCTTTCAGTTTAGTTTTTGTGAAGACTTCGGGTTGTCTTCATCAACAAAACCGGGGCCAACTGTTCCGAAAGGTTCGCGGGAGGATAATACACCTACGAAGCGGCTAAATGATCTTCTGATTAACGAGATACCGATCATTCTTTATCTTTAGGCAGACGCCCCGCCCCCTTCTCTCCCCCCTGAATTAATTTCAAGCAAAAGGCGTTAAACCGTAGATCTGCGGCTCGCGCTTTTGCACACGGCTCTGGATCGATTTATTTCCCGCCTTTTTCTTCTTGATTTGCTTCAGTGCTTGGGTCGTTCCGCTCGATGCTGCTGTTTGAGGTAATAATCCATTCACGCAAGGCTGTATTTCCATCTCCCTTTCTCAGCGCCTCGCAACCTCCGTTGGTCACTTGTCTTAACGTGTGATGTATTCGAGTAACATTTTATCGTGGCTGAGAACGGGATCCTATACCCGTGATCTTTATGCATGATTTTAGAGTATTTTTTAGAGCTTTTCGGTTATAGATGTTATTGCATTATACAAGAAATGTTTAACAATAAAAATATTTGATCGCTATTGTAACTTGAATATGCCAATTAATAGCGAAATGCATAAACTATCAAGTTAAACTTGATATTAGTAATGTACTATTTGGCATTTGCATTCATTGTCCTTGGAATGTAAAATGTACATTTGGTTTCATCAATAATGTTGACAAATGACACACTGTCTCAGACTAAAGTATTACCTGAACATTATTTTTCTAGAAACCCATGTCCTAGAGAGAGTAAAGCAAGAGGAGAGAAATATAGACAAGTAGAAAAGAAGTACATTTGTTTACATTACACATATTCCTAAACATATTGATACAAAAGTTTCTGAATTTATTGGGAGCCATTTACAGGTAAATAGCTATGGTTTTAGTTACTATCCTGTTATTATACTTTAAACAAACACTTTATAAATTCATCATTTCTTGACAGTTTTATTATTATATTTTGATTTAAAATAGGTTTTTGTACTTGCTTCTTCCCCTCTAGATAATGCTTAGACTTTGTGGTCTTATGTCCTTTCTGTTTGCTTCACCAGAAGTCAGTTTTGTTGAATTTGAAAACCTTGGACTTCTACTTTTCTATTTTATTGGCACCATAATCTTCATTAAAATATCCAGAAAAAAATAGCAATCCTGCGGAGACTTTTCATATATACTAATGAAACCTATGCAAAATTAAATCAACTTTATCCAGAAAAATACTTTCTAAATAGCTTTAACACCACCAGCTAAACATTTTATCATTTATTTCTATGTTTGTTAATTTATTCCATTTGTATGCTTTTGAATCTGCCAGAGACTCCAGTGGTTTACAAAAATAAATCAACAATGAAAACATCCATGGTAAAACAACATTTTTCTTAACTTGAATTATAATAATAAACATTCAGTATAATAAAACACTAGATTAGAAATAAAAATGTTTTGTATTAAAAAAATTAAAAGAGCATATTTAGGTAATTCAAAAGCTGTCTAAATGGAGCTTCTTAACTAAGGAGATAGTATAGCTAAATGTATGTATCTCATAGAAAAGTGGCTTACTATGATCTTATGTTCTAAGATCCCTATGTATATGTTTCATCCTAGTCTATGTCATTGCCTCATGAATGTTTGTTTAATTGAAATTGGCTTTTTTCCTGTTAAATATAAGCAATATATATTTTCTTAATTTTTTATCCCAACTATTAAGTAGTAATAATTCTAGCTTACTGTGCAATATTAGTCTACTATCTAGTAGTCGATTGTATAAGAGTTCATACTGATCTGCAGAGTATGAAAAGTGCAAAGAGAAGCAACCTGATACAATATATGCAATAAAGCATAAAACATTGCTAAATGTTATTTTGAGATTTAAGCCTGGTGTCTTTTTAGAATGAGAAAGAAGAAGAGAAATCTTTTAAATTTAAATTGTTTGTACCACCAAGACTGAGTAACACCCAGGTATCTGCAGTCAAACCACAAACAAGTACACGGGATGACGGTTTCTTTCAGGTAAATATGAAAATATCCTTTTTTCTAAGTAGATGCAGAAACATGTTAGTTTATCTTATAAAAACTGAAATATATTTGAATAGAAAAAAGCTTTTTTAAAAAAAGAATTCAATACTTATTCAATATTCAGTATGAAAACTTTGGAAATGAAATAAAGTGTTTTGAATTTAAAAATTAACATACTCAATTACTAAATATTTGGCCCTAAACAGAAGTTTTAAATCAGTTCCCAAAAGTTTTTCTTCATAATCTGAAACTGCTTATCAGAAAGATTTAGCACACTGGGTTGGAAAAAGGAAGCTTGGATCCCAAAAATCCAAGTTTCCTTTTCCAGTCCAATGTGCCAGTCTTCTCCTCCTCTGTGAACTAGTCTTTCTCGTCTTTAGAAACGCTGCTTTCGCCAGCTTTCTGGCAATCTTTCTGAAAGGTGGAAAGGCTGGAAAATCTTGTTATATTTCAGAAAGATCCTGTTTGCTGAGTTTTGTTGATCAAAGAGTTGTATATCAGAGATCAGAGGTGTGGAAAAGTTAGTATGCATACTATTTCAATGGACTTAAATGCACTTAATATTAGATTGGATCCAGATCTATTATTACATTTTCTGAGACTTTTAATAGTTCTAAACTTGTTTTGTGAATGAATAATTCATTTTAAATGACTTTTTCATTCTGAATCATAATTTAATAGCAAGTCCTATTTTCATCTTTATATATATCAAAGCAGTATGCCTGTGAGTTACTATGTTATAATATATTAATTACTATTTTCATATTTTTTCAGAATTGTAGTAATGGAACAGAAGAATATTATAACTCATCTTATGGAATGAAAAATATTTCAAAGCATATAGAAGTCATTGGTACGTTAAATGATGGATTGCTGGATTTAAAATTGCATTGTTTTATATATGTAATTGATAGATTTTCTATTGCATTTCTATTTTCTATATTTCATTTTATTTTTCATTTATGATCTATGGTAATCAGATGAACATGTGCCCAGCAGGAAATATATACTATAGTGTGTAGTATGTAGTATAGTGTACACACACTATAGTATAATTAATATCTTCAATAGTATTTTAGTTCATTAATTTATTACATACACTAGATATACATGTTTCCCTTTTATATCATGATTCTGAGAGTTTACAAACATAAAGCTGATAAAACCCATGAAACATAAAATATAAACAAAATCCATTATATCAAATGGGGTTTCTTAAGAAAATAGCCAACCTCTTAAGAAACCCCAAAGACAGGATCCAGCTAGAAAACCAAGGAGTCTATGAAATACCATGCAAAATCTGCCCAGCCACATACATTGGACAAACTAATAGGAGAATAAATGCCTGCATCGCAGAACACAAGAACGTCAGAAAAGAAGAAAAAACTTTCTCCCTCTTCCAGCACCTTAAAGCTACAGGACATGAAATTGATTTTAAAGGAACCAAACTAATCTCCAAAACTGAACACCACAACAAGAGAATAATTATGGAAGCCATCGAAATAGAAAAAAACCCCACAACATGAATAAACGTGATGATACCTCCTGCCTACCAGACATCTGGAAACTAGCCCTAATCAACAAACGGGTCCTAGCCACGAAAACTGACACCGGACCCAGAACAACACAGTACGCCACCACCATTCACCCTCACCAGACCCAAGCCCAAACCCATCCCTCAGACGAAATGCAACCACCATCCAGAAGCCAAACCACGACGACATCACCAGCTGCTGCACCTCCCTCCGACCCCGACACAAAGCAAACGGACACACGCCATGAACACAGAGCTAGACCTCAAACTTGGAGCCAAACCAAAGCCCGGTATGCTACATCACAGCCTTCTGCTCTGGACATCATATCACAGAACTGAAGAGGTTACAACGCTAAAGCTCAGGATGTTACAACACAGCCAACCACCCAGGATGTTGCAACACAAAACTCAGGATATCACTACACTAGATCTCAGGATGTAATCACACAACCCATTACCCAGGTCGTTATAACACAAAAGACTAATGGGCACACAGCCAGCACCTCAACTACTCAGGATGTTACAAAACAGCCAAACAATCCACAAACAATGGCTCCCACACAGCCAACCAATCCACCTACAGCAACTAAGTCAGAACTCCACACACCCCCACCAGTATTTATAGAGAGACGGCAGCTCCGATCACACTTTGCTCACACAGGCACGAAGCTGAAGACCCCAGCCTGAAGATGACGAGTGGGACCTCGTCGAAACGTCGCCAAGATACTCTCAATCTTACATGGGAAAAGACCCGAATACGCCAAGACCTGCATACCTGTACCCGTGAAAATCTACGAAAACAAATTATATATATATATATACACACACACACACATACATTACATTATTTTTTCTTTACATTTTTATATTTTTCTTAGTTTGTAGTTTTTATCTTTGTAATAGTAAACTTTAATAAAATTATTACAAATATATATATATATATTGAATGGTCAAAATAAAATGTTTCATTTTATAGATCCTTCTCCACAGAAAGTAAAACTTGTTCCTGACATAGAGCAAGAGGTCAGTTAAGTATATAATAAAAAAGTTGTATTAAAATTGGATTGCATTAATTTGGGAGTTTGGTTATGCAAGCAGTTGAAGAACTTCCCTTCAGTGCACCCCTGATTTGGTACAGTATAGGTATACAATTGTATACAGTATACAATTTCCTGAAAGGTACTATTAAGAAATAATCACCTACAAGAAAAAATAATTAGCTATAGAAAATTACTGTCATCTCATTTTTTTTGTTACTAGTGCAGTGTCCTTAATAATTTGTGTAGTTTTGAATAAATTTTTCTGAGATGAGAAAACTATTTTACTGATAATCATATGGTCTCTTCTTTTTATGTTGCATATTTTTTTTTGGTATATCCAAGGCTAGGTTTAATGGCAAATGTGAGTACAAAAATTAGATAATATGTACTTAACTAATTGTTGTTTATTACATTGGAACCTACTTTTGTAGAATATGGAGACAATGAATGAACTTTATTCAAGGCTTTACAAAGAAGCAGAAAAGATCAAGAGATGGAAAGTCAGTATACAATATGAATTAAAGGAAAAAGAGAAAAAATTGCAAGAAAATAGAAAGATTATTGAAGCATTGCGTAAAGCCATTCAAGAATTACAGGCAAGTGTTTATTGTATTTTGAAATAGAATTCAAAATAAAGTAATAACATAAAAATTGAACATAGAAAATTGTTAAATAATATATTTGTTTGCTGGGCTATCTCAGTTTCACACAAACATAAATGATTTCTCCCCTACCCACCCAGTTTTAAAAAAAGATTGTATTTCTAATTTCACCATGGTGCTATAATTTCATTCTTCCTGGCTTCTCTGCTATATTAAGGTAGTTTTTAAGTCATGTTATCATGTCATTGCAGTGGGATCCTAGAAGCTGGTAAGTGAAATGAATTGGCCATTCTTCATTCCTAATTCTTTTTGCTTTTATGATAATTGCAGCTTGAAATATAATTTCCATGCTGATGAATAAGTCAACAGTGATGCAAGAATTTGCAAATAATGATAAGACTATTGATACACAATAATACCATTAATTATATGATGCCATAACTGGATACAATGATGAGTATACAGTTACAGTATCAAAATCAGTAGATTGTTCATTACACTTCATTCTTGGGATTTCCCACCATTTTCATACAGTCTGGAAGAGCTTTTAGAATATAAACTTTCTTCAAAAGAAATGTGAATATGTTTTATTATATTCACCCAGAATATTTGCTAAAATAAAAGAATCAGAATAACTTGTAGTAGTCAATCATAAGATACATAATTTTCAGGCACTGATTAACCCCAAAGAGAAATAATGGGATGGATATCCATGAATGCATTTATGTATTAATTTTAAATATTAAAATGTTACAAGAATTCTAGCTTATAGTTTGTTTCTATTAGCTAAAGTTTCAAATTAATTTGAAGATACATAAATGCATGTTGAGGAGATGACATGCAGTTTCACAACCTATTAACTGTGGCGTAAAGACTCCATGCCAACCATTTTTAGAGGATATTTCCTCATGACACAGCCTTCATCACAACCACACTGAGCCCACTGTGGAGTTGTTTTACATTACATTTCTCTTTAGCTGTTTCAGTTTTAAATCCGTTTTTTCTCTTCTTGTTTTGCCACATGTTTTGTCATATGCTTATTCCTTGACACCTCACTGATGTTGACAATGATTTATTTTATTTATTTATTACATTTTTATGGCTGCCCATCTTACTTGCAATTTTAATAAGTAAAAGCTACATTTAAAAATATAAAAATAAAATGAGAATACGGTTTAACTACATACAAAATAATCATTTAATGGGCACCATAATTGAGATCTCCAAGCCCAACGGAACATCAAAATTTTGATTCGTCATGGGTTCCTGCTAGCCATTTTCATTTGCTATGAAGACACATGCCCCCTTTAATTGCCCAGTATAACTATCTATGGCAATTTTGGCTTGGTCTGCAAGAGAAAGATGGCATCTGAATTTCACAGAGACATGATGGTGGGTATTTTGCTGTGATTTCAGTTCCACATATACACAGCATTAGCATTTTCTAAAGTACTATTAGACCTGTTTTTAAACAGCTCTTTAATGATACTTTGAAAGAACAATAGAACTATATTTAAAACAAGATTAGTACTGGGTTCTAAGATCTGGATTCTACCAGCTATGTATTGCTGGTTCTTCCACAAAAGAATACCTTACAGGTTTCCTTTGTTTCTCCTATGAGGGGTATACACAGCCAGATTTTCTACTGATTGGAGAAACAGAGTGCTATATCCCAAAGTAATTTGTGTTCTTAAAGGGTAGTTCCAGTGCTGACAACCATAGTTATTCTCTTTCACTACTGTAGCAATACTTATGGATTTGAAATATTTGGTAACCTGAGTAAAAGTGTTAACAATCTGCTGGTTTCTATCTCTAGCCTGATTGACAAGTCACAGGCATAGATCAGAAGTAAGGCTGAGGCAGAAGGGAATGTTCCATTACTCCTTGGAAGATGTATTCAGAAGTAGTCCAAGTGATAGGTTACTTATTGGTGTGGAACAACACCAAACCAGCAACTGTCACTAAGGCGACTTGTAAGCTGTCTAAAGTCTTTGCTCTCTACACATATAACAAAATCTGGCCTACCACTTATTAAGTAAGTAATTTTGGATGTTATGTTGGAAGGAGAGATAAAGATTGTCTTCAGAGCAGCATAAATTGTACTAGCATACTTTTCTGTCAACTTGAGGACTGAAAAAAATGTACATTAACACAGTCATGAAGAAAAGTCCATGTTTTTATATTTGGTAGTCACAGTGTACTCAGACTAAAACATATCCTTTGCATCTTTATGAATTTAGTTTGAAAATGAAAAATTAAGCCTAAAACTTGAAGATGAAATACATGAAAACAATGAAATTCTAAAAGAGTAAGTAATATTAGTAAAACATTACTAAAATAAATTACTAATAAAATAATTTATGGAACTTAAACAATTATATTGTAGCAAATGGCAATATCCTTCTGATATTGGCTGATTTCAAACAAAGCTAAGTAATATATGAAAGATAATCCTTGACTTCAAGCCACAATTGGGACTGGAATTTTTGTCCTAAGTCATTGTGGTTGTAAGTTAAATCTGATCCAATTTTAGTACCATTTTTATAATCAACATTAAGTGAATCACTGCAGTAAAGGAACAGTATAGTCGTAAGTGCAACCCATTCTTCGAAATGTCGCAAATCATGATCACATTATTGCAACACACTGCAGTTGTGAGCCAGTTGCCAAGAGTCCAAGTTGCAATCACATTAACATGAAGATGATGCAATAGTCATAACTGCAAGGACTATTATAAGTGCGAGGACTATATTTTTTCAGCACCTTCATAACTTCAAATTATTGCTAAATGTATGGTCATATATCAAGGACTATCTGTAATTAAATCAGAATAGAGCTGGAAGAGACCTTGGAGGTTTTCTAGTCCAACCCCCTGCTCAAGCAGGAGACTCTATACCATTTTAGACAAGTGACTGTCCAGTCTCTTCTTAACTTCAAGTGATGAAGAGCTCACAAATTCTGAAAGCAAGCTGTTCCACTGGTTAATTGTTCTCACTGTTAGGAATTTTCTCCTTAATTCCAGGTTGCTTCTCTCCTTGATTAATTTCCATCCATTGTTTCTTGTCCTGCCCTCTGGTGCTTTGGAAAATAAGTTGACCCCTCCTCTTTGTGGCAACCTCTCAAATATTGGAATACTGCTATCATGTCCCTCCTAGTCCTTCTTTTCTCTAGAGTTGAGTGGGAAATGATCAGGAAATCCTAGAGCTGTGAGATAGTTGAAGTGGTGAGAAAAATTCCTCACGAAAGTACACCATTGTTAAATTGTTATCAAGGAAAGACATTAATGTGTCCAGATGGTACCAGAAGTTAACCAAAAGTCACACTTGCAGTAATTTTTTATATATATCTTGCCAATTTCATTCATTCATTCTTGTATGCTGCCATCTCATTAAAAGCAACCCAATTTAGGCTGTTTTGAAGCGATAAATCTACAACTTGACCAATATCTACCTCACCCATCTCTAATCACAAATGAATCTCTGCTATTTTGCCATTTATCTCAAAGGCTATCTTTAATAAAATGTTTCTATTTTTTAAATATTTTTTTCCTCTTGCCAAAAGTGAAAAGTTGTATTTAGTGAGTTATTGTTTATTTTCTTAATAAGTTTAATTTAATTTTAATTAACAATTTAATTGTTAATTAAATCTTAGATTTTAATTTGTTATGCATGATTCATCTAATTTTAATGATTATTTTACAGACATTTTTGTGACTATTAATATTGTATTGTGTTGTATTTAAGTAGCACCCTGCCTCTTGACCACATTGTATGCACAGTGTACTTTCTCTGCAAAGAAAAGAAAGTTTCTTCTGCAGTAAAAGAAACAGCTGCTCCAATTTCAGATTAATAATTCTTGCATGTGGAATGGGCTTCATTTTCTCAAACCATCAAGCATTATAGGATCAGATAGGGCTGGAAATGTTTCTGGACTGGGATGTTCTCATTCCATGCTACAAGGTTTTCTCTACTTTTGTGTGCCTTCTATTGGATTTGAGGGGGGAGAGATATTACAGACCACACTTAAGTAAACAGGTCTCCGTGTATCTATATCTATATATCTATAACTATATAAATGTTATACTAGAGTACCCTAGGTGGAAATGGTATAGAACAGTGGTTCTCAACCTGTGGTCCGCGGACCTATGGGGGGTGCGATATCACAGGGGGTCCGTGCTTGAAAAAAAGTTATGATTTAAATCTTGAGTTAAGTCTTGGAGATCTTAAAAGGTATTTAAAGGGGGCTGTGGTGAAGAAAAGGTTGAGAACCACTGGTATAGAGCAACCACAACACTTCATTTTTTTAAATAAATAATTTGTTATTGTTGAACAAGCCAATTACTTTCTAGTTTCATCAAACCATGGCATCAAATCATGCCCTGGTAGCATATTCTTTTTGATGTGTCCCAATAATGTTGTTTTCATCTCAGCATAGCCCATGAGTAAAGTAACCTCTACCTGATGTTAACTATTCTGGTGTTAAACTAGCATTTTCTCTTAATTCTGACATTATCAGGAATAGCTGGAAGCTACACCTGATCAGCCTTTATTACTCTTGTATCACCCTTTAATTGGATAGAAGTGAGAAAACTTGCAGTGATTGGGAAAAGAGACAATAGAGGTTTGGCTACAAGTTGATAAAAAGAATAGCAAATTTAATATCAATAGTGTTTTCTGCTGGCTCAAAAATGGGTGAAGAGCATGTGCATTTCTTCTCAGCAATGGAGAAAGGTTGTATGATTGTTATGAATAAGCAAGCTTCCTTCCACAACAAAGCATTTTGTTAAAACAAGCAAACTCTTAAAAATTTATGCCCAGCAACACAAATCTTTCCCTCCCCTTTGTTAGGCAATAGGCCTTTTACTTTCATTGGAATCTGATGAAGAAACTGCTCCCAGAAATTTTAAATTGCTCTGTAAAGAAATTTCTTTGTAAAGCAAGGAACTATCAACATAATGTTGTTAATATTATCTTTTCTCTTTAGAAACAATGCTACAAGACATTTGTGCAACTTGCTCAAAGAAAAATGTATGCAATCAGTGGAGAAGTGCAACAAATGTAAATATACTTAGTAGCATTTATCTTTTCCATACTATAAATTGCAACAAAAAATACTGCTATTTTACTTAGTTATATGTGAATAAAAAATATGAGGTTCTTCACAAAATGTTTTATTACATATTCTATTATGTCATCCTTATATTCAGAACTACTACTTGGCTGGTCAGTTCCTCAAGAACTATAATATCTAAATAGGAGTTTACCTATAAAGTAAAAAAAAGGTGTTTAAAATTAAAATTGTTTACTGGGTTCAGCATAGGATGGATGGATGGGTGGATGGATAGGTTATTTGATTTTAAGTCAGTGTTAATTCTTACTTCTTACATAGATAGTTTTTCTCCAAGAGAATCTGTTCCCAATCTCATCCTTCACATCCGCCAGTGTAATTGAGTGTATACATATTGTTGCTAGTGGTCTTCTTGTCTTTTCTTCCACTTTTCCCAGCATTATAAACTTTTCAAGAAATTAGATCTTCATATAATATGTCTTTAAGTATGGTAATTTGAACAGGGTCATTTGTGACTCAAGGGAAAACTCTGGTTGATTTGTTTCAAGAATCATTTTTTGGTTTCTTGGCTAACCATGATATTCTCACAAGTCTTCTCCAACATCAAAGTCCAAAAATGTCGAGAACATAGGTAGGAAAGCATTTTTTAAAATAAAATGTATAGACAAATTGATAGGACAATCAGAAAAGCTTGCTTTATTATGACAGATTTTAAAATACCCTGTCCTAAACACCCATCAACATTTAATCCTAATTTAATTCTAACTTGAATTATGTATTGTTATTATTACTGATATATTTTATTTGACACTGTAACATTTTTTATTCTATCATATCATTAATTTTGTTAAAGATGAATGTGAACGAGAAGAAACCAGACAAATGTATGTGGATCTTAACAATAACATTGAGGTAATACACTGAAGATAAAATACTTCATAACATAAATGTTTAGACCTGTAGTTTAATAATGCATCTGTAGTTGGACCCTGAGGCCATTACATGTTCCTTTAGCTAGGGATGGAGGAAATGCTACCTCAAAAAGCAGAAAGTGATTGTGGATGCATCAATACTTAAGTTGCTGTAGCCCAGTGATGGTGAACATTTTAGAGACTGAGTGCCCCAAAACTGGTCCCGCCCTCGTTCCACCCCCTGCCCCGCCCCTACTCTGCCTGCCCGCAGGGCCACTCACTGTCTCCAGGGCCCACCGCAGTTCGCCCAGACAGCCCAGCAGCGCCATGGCAGCCATGCCCTCTGCCCGCACCCCGCAGCATCAACTGCATGCGATGGGGCATGAGGGCAGAGTCTTGTCTACACTGCCTGGCTGCTATGTCCTTGGCTGTGCTGCTCTGCGTGGGCCACGCTCAGGGGCAACTCTCCTCCAGGGAGGCTGCTGGTGAGGGGGTCACGGGGGGAGGCAAGGCTGGGGCAATGGCACGTGTGCCCACAGAGAGGGCTCTGAGTGCCGCCTCTGGCACGCGTGCCATAGGTTCGCCACCACTGCTGTAGCCTTTCCCCCTTATTTTTTTTTAAATATAGTTATGAAAAGCTCAGTGAAAATATAGTTGACTGTATTGACCAGCGAGCTGTGGTGGGGCAAAGGTTAGAAGGCAGTATTGCAGGCTAATTCTGCCAGCAGTTCGATTCTCACTGGATCAAGGTTGACTCAGCTTTCCATCCTTCTGAGGTTGGTAAAATGAGAACCCAGATTGTTGGAGGCAATATGCTAACTCTGTAAACTGCTTGGAGAGGGCTATAAAGCACTGTGAAGCTGTATATGTCTAGGTGCTATTGCGATTGCTATATTTGACTAATGTTTATTTCATTATTCTGGTTTAACATTATAGAAAGATTTTATTGATTTATTTCCTTTATATCCCACATAATAGCCTGGTCCAAAGAGACCCATGGACCAATTCTTATTATCTATCATTACTATCATACCACACTATTTCCCAATAAATAATAGCGTTTAAAAAAGGAACAGTGACTAGTCCTGAAGATGGAGAAAGCATTGTAGGCAAATATCAATGACTGAATATAATATATCATGGGACAGTATTGTATGCAATAAATATTAATGTTAACTCTGAATATCTTTATAAAATATGAATGTATTAACTTCTTCTGGAACATTTGTTTTTATCCAATTTTATTTACATTTTTAGAGAATGATAAAGGCTTTTGAAGAACTTCGTGTACAAGCAGAGAACATCAGGCTGGAAAAGTATTACAAAAGTAAGAATATTATATCTGGCATATGTGTGATGCATAATAAACTACCAAACTAAAATAGTCACTAAGATTGGGAGAATTATATAATCTTATTTCTTATTTGATTCTCTATGAATGCCATGTAAGTGATCTTGATCAATTAAAAGAGAGTTGCAAAAGTGTAATTTTGGTTGAGGATTTGAAATTATTGTCTCCTGTTTTGTTGTGTTCTCTTTATTATAAGCACATATGAAGTATAGTGGACTTATTCTGTTGAGACATTAATTGACATTCAAAATGGGGAACATATTACAAAATTTATGTGTAGAATTTATCGGAGGTTTCTATTGGATTGTATTCCTTGAGAAAAGGAGTCTATTCTAAATCCTGCCCAAAGTGAGACATTTTGGCAATAGCTTGGAAAAGACTTATGCAGCAGATTATCCTATCCAGCATAAGCCTCCTGTCTTGTTCCTTGACATGACTTTTTATCAGCTCTCATCTTTAAGTAGTATTGCTCTGCTATCACTTCAAGACCTGGTGATACATTTTGGAGCAGGTTACCTATTTGAGGTTGCAGTAATATCAGTATGAGATATGATTAGCATGCAAAAATATGTCAATTATCTTCTCATTTTAAATGAAGTACTATATAGATAAAATATTATCTAAATATTTATAATATTTTATAAAATATTATAAAATATTTCTTTATAATAATGTAAATTATTGTTATTTTGGAAGTAAAAGAAGCAGCTGATAAAATAGAACAGCTTGAAAAAGGACACAAGAGAGAGATAAATTCCGTGGAAAAAGAGGTTTGTTTTATGATTACATATTTTTGTTAAATCAGTTATAAGTAATGTATATAAATCAACATTTTAAATTATTTTTCTGAATAAATATTTTATGAGTATTTTGTTTTTATAAAAATAATATATAGTTGGAAGTCCTTGACAGAAAAATATAGTTTTCTCCTAGAAGACAGTCACAATCAGTTGTAAAAAGAACATAGTAAAGAGATGAGTTAATGCATTTGAGAGAAAGAAAAGGTGGTGTTAAATTATTGAAATCTTCCATCCAATAATTGGATAGAAGACTAGCAGAATTTAAAATATATGTTTTGTTAAAAATCATAGACTTCCAAGATCCATTTTTATCATCAACTTCAATTCCCCTGCTTGGTTCATGAATCCCAATTGAAGCATCCCAGATAGATTCTTGTGTATTCTTTGCTGGAAGATGAATGAAGTGGAGTCAACCACTTGTATCATAATAACTGTAATTAGTTCAAAATAGAAATAGATACCAGAATAGGGAAGTCGTAGCAAAATTTTGTACATAACTCTAAACTATAATGAGCAATATCTACAACTCTTTGGATTACATTAAATCTAGGAATAGTATGCTGAAGATTGTATGCATGTATACATATATGCATGTGTGCCAAAAAATACAAAAACTGTCCCATCTTGGAGTGGAAAAACACATGACTTTCTTCAAATCAGAAAGCAGAGATAAAAAAACTTTTCCAGTCCACTAATAGTCTTCATTTGAAATGTCATTACTCTGAGAGGTAGGAAACCAGCTTGGTAATGAAATTAAATTAGTTCTTTCACACAAACAGATACTATATCACAATCTCAATTTTTTTTATTTTCTTAAAGCTGTAATTGGCAGGAAGAGAGTTATGTTCTTGCATCAAAATTGATAGTGGATGCTAAAATATCTCCTGACTGAAACCAGTGGTTTCCCACTTAATCAGGATGACTAGCTGAAGTTGAAGTTTTATTTCTCTCTGTCCTCCTCTTATGTCACAGTCTCCACTGCATTCAATTCAATGGGGAGATTGTGAATTTTCCCATAATAAAAGTTGCTGTTGTACTTAAAAAGCCTGGGATAATGAATTTTTTTTTACTGCTGAATGTGGAGGGACTTAGCTCTATAAGTCATGGAGAGATCAACTGTGAGTTGTTTCATTTTTAGTGTACACCTTGTCCTTGTCTGGTATAACTTCAGAAAATTTCTATTCCCTTTTTGTTTTACTGTTTGTGTTATGTACAAAGGGTCAGGACTACTAAGTCCAGTTCAGAAGATTTATTGCTCAAGCCTATACACAAGAATCTAGTCAACTAATGGTCAATACTAAACTGGCGCCAGATAGGAATTAACTGAATTCGGGGGGAGGGGGTTGAACTTGGGGCTGGATTGCTTATGCAATGTAATGACTCCAGACTGATTCTGGCTCTGCCTCTTCTCTTCTATCTTGTCATATAAAATCAAAATCTATATAACACAAGAATATGAAACTCAAATGGAAATTTGCAGACATGATTTGTCAATTATTTATTTTATTAGATTTCTATACTGAAAGAAGAAAATGGTAAAAAAGATAACAAAATAAAGCAGACAAACAGTCAGTTACAGGAATCAAGATTGTTAATACTTGAATTCGAAGAAATAAGAAGTAAGTATTTTTAATTGCTATCCTACTTGGTTTTTATTATTACAGCAAACTAGATGTCAGAACATCTGTTTTTGTTCTTTGAGGCCAATAAATACATTTGGTATTTGAGAAAAATGTTTGGGTAATACTATAAATTAGTAATGATATTGCTAATCATACAACATTGTGCAACTCCTCTGTTGTTTTTCTGCGTAAGTGTATATATCTATTTTTCAACTGATTTATCTCCTCCATTCTTCTTTGTTCTGTTTCTCTTTCATTCTGCTTCTTCCTTCTTCACCTCATTTCTTTTGTTTTTCAAACAAATTTTATTGGTTTTTTAATTTTTACATCAGAGTGCTCAGGAAAACACCGTGGTGAAGGGGAATCAGTCATCCAAAAACAAAGTCATACATATATAACTGGAGTTAATACATTAAAAATTTCCCTCTCTACTTCCCTCACATAATATAGGGAATTTAGTTTAATCTATTTCTTCATAAAATTCAATCAGTCCAAACGATCATCATCCTGCTTTAAGCTTCATTAATTTCGATTAACATATTCAAATTCGTCTTAAGTAAACATATTAATAAGACTTTGGGTATCCCTTCTACAACATACATAGTGTTCCAACAATAACATTCTACTATTTTCACATATATTCCATTTCTTAATGTAATAAATCATTGGTTAATACCCTTTTTTCTCTTATTGTAAATCTCTCTAGTTCTTCTATTACAAAATAATTTTCTATAAATAGACATTTCAGCCCGTTAAATAAAATTTAAATCTCAACCAAAATAGTTATCATGTCTAAGACAAACATATCATTACACAAATTATCTTACTAATTTCGCATACTCAGTTAATTGTCAAATCAGTCCGAATCTCTAAAGCCTTTTTGACCCAATAAGTGAAAATTTAAGTCACATTTTAAAATCTAACTCTGGCTTTTTTTCTGTGCCAAGCTGGTGTCCATGATGCCGCATCTATGTAATCAAATCTCCATATTTGAGCACTGATATTTATCAACAAGTCATTCTGATCAAATTTCTCCTCCCCATCTTCCAATATCATGTAGGTAATATAGTCAATTTTGTTCCATATTATGATTACAGCTTGATTATCCAAGTTGTCATAACTTTCAATAGATCGCATCTGGAAGTCAGTTCCTGTTGGTTTTAAAAGTAAGAGTGTTTCAGTTGAAGACATTCTGTGATCTTCGGAGTTCTCCATAGTTTGTACATAAACTTGTGAGATACCTCTTCTATAGTAATTAGTTGACTTGTAGTGTGGTCAATTAAAGTCTCAGTCTGGGATTTTGGGTCCAAAGTTTTTCTATGATTCAATTGGTCAGTAGGTTCTTTTTCCATTTCATTAAATTGTGTACACTGTTGCATATCGGCTTCTTCTTGGCCTATAGGTTGATCTTTTAAAATTTGAGGCTCAGCTTGTGGTTCTGCAAACTGATCTTTAATTTTTCTCCATGATTTCACATACTCTGTAGCTTCCAATATTTTTTCCAGTATAAGCTCGTAGTCAAGCTGTAGGTAAGATTCTTCCATTTCCATAATAAAATAATCTTTTAGTCTTTTAGTAAAAGCTATATTTATTTAAAGTCAATAAATGTCTGCCTTCACAGTTTCTAAATCACAAAGTCAACCCACAGCTATTTCCAAGCCTTTATCTTCTTTTATTATTATTTGAAGATCAAATCCATCTTCAAACACCTAAGAACATTACAATTGCAGTAACACTTTTCGCCACAAGATGTCCTCAGTCAGCTTAGAAACTTTTTTCTTTCCAAGTTAAAAGCTTTTATCTCATTTTGAGAGCGAGGAAGAAAGAGGCAGGAAGAAGCAAGTATCTCCGATATAGTAAGTAGAATAATGCTATATAATACAAGTTTTTCCAGGGGTCCCAAGTATCCAAAAAATTAAAAGTCCAATAAATGCTGTTCTGTAATTTTATTCAAAGTATTCCCCCCCCCCCAAAATAGATGAACGCCGTTTTCTTAGGATAGGGAAGTCATCCAACGGCTCTTTGCAGAAAAAATAGTTGGGAGTAAGAGGGGAAAAAAAAGTCTCACCCAAATTTCTCCGCGGTGGTTTCTTTACGCTTAGTTGTTCTTTTGACTTCGGCTGGTGCAGCTAGATGATCGGCTATCTTGCAGGACGATCTTTACTCCGTCGCCCCTAAGGAGTCAGCTGGGGCCGCGGGCAAGGCTGCCGCCTTCCCGCAGTCACCAGCAAGCCTCCTCCTCGGTGGTCGCCCCTCCAGGGCGACTTTCAATCCCCTTCAGGGTCTACCGGCGAAGGAAAATCGGCCGGTGAAGAGACAAGTCTTTTCACGCAACCGCAGTCGCCACAAAACCGGAACCGGAAGTCCTTCTTCACCTCATTTCTCAGCCAATGTATAATCATGTTTTCTGCAAGTACTTGACAAACAAATTTTCACAGTATTGCACCATTTACCCTATATTAGAGCCTAAGAAAAATTCCATGGATGAAAATCTTAAAGGAGAAAATAGATCAAGAAGCATGGGAAACTCTGAAAAATATGATCATAAAAGCCTATTTCAGCACAACACCACTGAAAAAGAAAAACAAATCCAAGACGAAACCAACATGGTTGCATAAAGATCTCTTTGATAAACTGAAAGACAAAAAGGACAAAAAATAGAAAAAGGGACATATAACTAAGGCAGAGTATCAGCAGATAGCCTGAATCTGCAAAGATGAAATCAGGAAAGCAAAGGCTCAGAATGAACAAAGACTTGCAACAAAAGTCAAAGATAATAACAAAAGTTTCAACATATAAATAACGAGAAAAAAGTCAAGGAAACAGTAGGTCTACTTAAGAGAAAAGGTGGCAAGGAAATAACTGGAAGCAGATAGAAAGTAGAACTGCTTAACTCATTCTTTGCATCAGTCTTCACTCAAAAAGAAACTATAACCCAACCTACCAAAAACCTAACTGTAAAAGACAGATTAAAACTGTAAAAGACAGATTAAAATTAAAATAAGCAAGAAAATCGTTAGGGAACACCTATCTGATCTTTGCTCTCCTCCTCCTCTCTATTAGTTTGTATTTGTGTGTGTATGCACGATTAATTCAAAAGACTCCTTTCCACTTCTAAAATACTCTGGACTTTACTGGTGCTTTAACTACCAGTGTAAAATAATATGCATTGGACATCTGCAAAAGTACAGAACTATATTAATTATAAAAAGGCAGCTTGAGATAGGCAACAATCAAAAAGAGTTATAATATAATATTTTGCTTCATTTTTCTCACTTTGGTTTTTCTGGCTTTTGTTTTTGTTGATACTACAATTTTATTTTCTCCATTAGCGTGGGATGATCAGTTGGGTGGAATAAGAAAGCAGTTGTCATTGAGGAAGAACCAAATCTAATGGTGCTGACTCTTCAGCATTCATGATCTACTGTCCACAAGGGGGCAGTAAGTTGTAGAGAAAGAATTAAAGATTTATTCTGTGAATTCCCTTTGTCTTTTAACACTGTTCTTGGTCTAAAAGATTAATCTGAAGTCACTTCCTTTTCCCTTTCACCCCTGGCACAAATGCATAGAACTTGTGCTCTTTGAATTTCTTTTCTGTTAAAACTATAAACCCCGCCTCAGTTATTTTAAGTTAGATTCCTGCTTATATGAACATATAGTTCAGCTCAGTGGTGGGATTCAGCCAGTTTGCACCACTTTGGCAGAACTGGTAGCTAAATTTTGTTGCCCAGGCCCAGATGCCGGAAGTGGCATCCACACAGAGAACCGGCTGTTCATGTATTTGAATCCCACCACTTGTTCAGCTTCCAAAAGTCACTTCAGTGGCTTTATCAGCCTCTATTTTTATAAATTACTTTTCTCACTTTTGTTGCTACCTACAGATCACAATCTTTCTTTGCAAAATAACAATATAATCTCCTCCTCCTCCCCCCCCTCCTCCCAAGCAGCAATGTCCTAGACTGCATCTGTCCTTTGTTTGAAGAATGCTTTAAATCTAAAAAAGTTTTGCCAAGGAAGCAAGAAGTAGCTACAGGGTGAACTTTGCTATGTGCGTGCAACTGATCAAAACAAATAAAAAATATTGCTTTTTAAAACAAAGATTTTAACAATGGATAGGATAGCTGTAGCTGGTATTTAAGGAAGGTTTAGATAGAGCTCAATGTGGGATATATTTGGTTATTATTATGTTTGGTGTACATGTTGACTAATACTGCTTATTTAATTAAAAGCATACATTTTTGTATACACGATATATAGTATAACCCTGGCCTGTAAACTTTCCTGAAAATATTTTATATTTTATTTTTTGCATTTAATATTCAGAAAAACAAGATGAGATAATAAAAAAAGCAGAAAGCAAGCAACAAATCTTGTTGGCAGAACTGGAAAATACTACACATTCTTTGGAAGATACAAAGGTATCTTTGATACAATAATTTAAGTTCAGTAATAATACTGAATATAAATGAGAAATCCAGGATATAGTTTAAATTATTATGAATATTTCCATTTAGTAAAATCTTAATTATAAAACATATCACTACATATAAGTTGGAAAATGTAATTTTTTAATTCTTTTTAGAATACTTGTAACAATTTAGAAGCTGAGTTGCGAATTACAGTAAAAACAGCAGCAGAAGTCACTGAAGAAAAGGAATTGATTATAAAAGAATTTGAAGAAACTAGAATTCTGCATGCATCTGTTACTGATGGGTTCCAGATTGAAGTTTCTAATTTGAAGGAGATGCTAATCAAGGAAGAAAATAGGTAAAATGGTTTTCTGTGTAAATGTTAAAAGATAGTTGTGACAAAGGGAAAACAGAAATCTCCCTGTAAATAGGACATAGCAGCGAAAGTATTTCAGACTTTCCCTGCTGGGCATAAAGGATGCTTGATAAAGGAGCAGTTATGGAGGTTGGAGAAGGTCAAGGAGATGGCAGAGAGAAACTTAAAGAGAGGAAGCATCTGGATTACCCTTAACAGGACTGTACATACAATGTCCACCATCCTTCTACACTTTCTGGCCTTGACTCAGTTCACTGTCCAGCAGAGACCAGTTTCTGCTAGCTGGAAACTCTTTCTCAGTAGGAAAGAAAAGCCTCCAAAGACTACATGAATAAGAGCTGCTTATATTCCCCCCCCCAGGGTGAAAAGCTTATTGAAACTGTTGATAAAAAAGCAGGACAGCAAGCTTCAAACTGCCAGAACAGTTTATTTCCTTAGTTAGGCATTTTATTTTTAATGTATGTTGAGTTCTTTGTTTGGACTACTTGGGCTCCACAGAGTGTTTTTGTTTCAGATCCTGACCTTGAATGATGAACTCTGACTCCTGAAGACTTCAGCAAGTTCTTTACAACTTTGGGGAGTCCAGTGTTCCTTTTCTGTTATTTGCTAGACAGCTCTCCATCTTTCTGTTTACAATGGTTTCTACCATAATACTATAATGAATAATTATAGAAAGTTTCATAAAATGAATTTATTTAATTTTTATGCCACTCATCTCCCCTATAAGGTGACTCTTTGTGGCTTGCAAGTTATCAAATAAATAAAATTTATTTAATGTTTTAAATTTTTAAAACATTAAAACTACACAGATTATGATTTTAAAATGGTGGAACCAGAACCAAGAAACGAGACAGGGATGAGGTCTTCTTATCCTGTCAGTATGTCTAGCAGGGAGTGCCTTCTTTGGTGCGCCAGGTCAACCAGCAAAGTCAAGTATTGATACCCTTCTGGAAGGCCAAGAGAGTGGGAGCAGTTCTTACCTCTACTGGTAGAATGTTCCACAGGGATGGAACAACAGCAGAAAAGGTTATTTTCCTTGAACCCACCTGCTGGAATACTTTAGCAGACAGGATCTATAGCAGGCCTCTTCCGATGGCCTGAGTGGGGTAGACTAATCCCACTGAGGGAAGATGGCTCCTCATGAACTCTGGACTGATGCCATGTAGGGTTTTAAAGGTAACAACCAACTTCCTTGAATTGGATCTGGAAGCAAACTGGTAACCAACTCATGTAGTAGCAATGTTATAAATGCAGCCTTAGGAACTCCCAGGATTGTGTGCATTCTGCCAGCTACATCTTCAAATACTCTTCAAGGATAGCCCATTATAGTGCATTACAGTAATCCAGCTGAGAGATGACTAGGGCATGAGTGACCATGCACAGGGCTTCATGATCCAGGTAAGGGTGCAACTGGTACATAAGTTGTTCAGAGGCCTTCCTAGTCATGAGAGTTGTGAATCCAGGAGGTTCCCCAAGTTACACACTGGATCAGGGGAGTGTAACTCTGTCCAGAATTTATGATGATAACCAAATCCTGAGGTCTCTTGCACCCTTTGTCTTGTCTGGGTTCAATTGAAACCTGTTGTCCCCCATCCAGATCCTTACAGCTTTCAGGCACGGAGAAAGGGCAGCCAAAGCATCACTTGGATCGCCAGAGATGGAGATGTAAAGCTGTGTATTATCAGCATACTGATTGTATCTCATCTCATAATGCGAGATAATCTCACCAAGCAGTTTCATATAAATGTTAAAAAGAAGAGTACTGAGCCCTGTGGCATTTCGTAAAGAAGAAGATACAGGCTAAATCTGTTGCTCCCTATTAACATCGATTGGGATCAGCCTTGTAGAAAGAAGCTGAACCAATGCAATATTGTGCCTCAAACTCCATAGCCAGCCCAAAAGGATACCATTGTCAATCGTATCAAAGGCCGCTGAGAGGTCAATAGAGCACAACAATGATGAAAACTCTTTTTTTTTAATTGAAAAATTTATAAAAGTTTTACAATATAATTCCCCCCTCCCCTAAACCCACCCTTCCCCTCCCCCTTCCCTCCCCCCCACTTCCCAGAGCCAATCACAGGGTTAACAATACAATAACCATACTCTATCTAACATTAATCAACTATTAGAATAACAAATCTATGACATCCTTTAACTCTCTTTTAAACAAACTAGTATTAAACACAATAATTATAACATCATATTAATAATCATAAATAAAAATAAGTAACCTATTGTAACATATAAACTACATTAATGCTCTAAAATTTACTCAAAAACCAAATGAAACTTTTTAGTCCCATATTTACTCTCAATATAATCTATCCATCTTCTCCAAACCGAAATATATCTTTCTTGTGAATAGTCCTTCACATAAGCGGAAATCTTGGCCATTTCTGCTAAGTTTGAGACTTTAAGTGATCATTCTTCTATAGTGGACAAATGTTCCGTTTTCCAACATTGAGCTACTAATAGTCTTGCAGCAGTTATCAAGTTCAACATCAAATCCATTTCTTTTGTATCCATATCCTCCATAATACCCAGCAAAAATATCTG